AGATATATAAGAATAATATTTGTTTTTTCTTAAAGCTAAAGGATGTGACTATTATATAATGTACTTAATATTACATAATATTGCGTACATTTTTTTTTTTTTTACAATCTATTTTGGATGTTACTTTGTGCCCCGGTCTCCCCTACGTGAGCCGCGTGAACGGCGTGCGTTTGGCGCGATTGTTCGTTGCCGGGCGACAGGGTTGTTGTGGACAGAGACGAATCGCGGACGCGAGGCTGTCACGACGCGTTACAGACGATCCTGTAATTCTTGTAATAATTCGTAGCATAATAACGTGTTGTTAAGAGAAACGTTCTCTCATTTCCGCTGACGTGTGCGCGAATCGGGGAGATCGGCGACGGAATAGAACCGCTACCGCGAGCGTAGCAATATATACTATATGAATACTTTTTACTAATATCTGTATTTTATTAATATTATTAGCTGCAACAAGAGAATTAGATATTCAATATGTTGCAAACTCGAGCACACAAGTTACTATAAAATGGAACTCTCCAAATCACTTAAACGTAGTGCTGTATGAAATAACATTAAAGGTAATTTTATGTAACTTGTTTACATGTTTATAAAAGTCGACATACATAAAAACATCTTTTGTTTTTTTGATATTACTTTAATTGTCTCTTAAACGCGATATGATTTTATTATATTATAATTAAATAATACAGTATTGATTATTTAAATTCGTAAATCTTTTATATGTATTGAAATTCAATTCGAGACGATGTAGCATGTACATAGTTTCAATTGTAGTTTACGTAATATATGTTATAGAAAGTATCAATAGTAATGATTTTAGACGTTATTAAGCTAAAAATATTTCTGCTGATTTTTGTATGCGTGTATACAAAAACTTGTATTTTAATTATATTATTCAGAATATTACTTTATTAATAAATTTATGATTGTGTATGATCATGTTTCCTAGATTACTGTGTACTATGGCTGTGAAGATTTAAATGAAACCACATCGGTTGCACCTAGTAAAACCTATACTACATCCGAAACAGTAATCACATTCTCAGATTTACATCCGTACGCTTCTTACACAGTAAAAGTGACTGCACATGAATCTCCGAATAGCAGTTATGGCGCAGAAATAACTTTTAATACAAACAAATCTGGTACATATAAAATATTGTTACTTCTCACAAAAACTTATTACTGACTTTAATATATAACAACTCACATAGCATCGCAAGTAGCGCAAACGTTTCTGCAACAGGGTTTCCGAAACTTAGCAACGTTTCGTGAAACGTTTCTAAAACGTCGTAGTAACGTAGTGGAAACGTCGAAATGTCCGCTTTTTAAGTTTCGCTCCGATTTCGTTAAAACGTATGAGAAACGTTGCCCGATACGTTGCAAAGTTTTTAATGTTTAAATTTTTATAAACACTGTAAAATACAATTATTCAACCATGCAGGTTTTGCCTGTTTAACCATTCTTTATCACTTAAGTAATCACTCCTTCCTGAACAATGGTTAAGCAGGCAAAAAATGCTTGATTTCAAAAATGTAAAAAAATATTTTACAATGTTTATAAAAATATAAACATTAAAACTTTGCAAACTTATCGGGCAACGTTTCTCACACGTTTCAACAAAATCAAACCGAAACTTCCAAAGCGGACATTTCGACTTTTCCGCTACGTTACTACGACGTTTTAGAAACGTTTCAGGAAACGTTGCTAAGTTTCAAAAAACCTGTTGCAGAAACGTTTGTGCTACTAACGATGCTATGTGGGAACGTAATAATACATATGTATGTATAACACTGTGTTTGAGTTAAAATTTTAATAATCAACATCTTTGTAGACATACCAACAGAAGTGTTTACAGAATTAAAAGCACAAAATTGGACATTATCATGGCAACCACCTAAAGATTGCTCAACGATTTCGGGATCATTAAACGCTAAAATAAAAATTAGCGGAGTTAGTACAGCTGTAAAACATTTCAGTGCAATTGAATTTACATCGCGTTGGTATATTGACTTAACTATACTAAATCCACCACTACTTAGTAACGAGCTATATCGAGCAACTGTTTATGTAGTAAGAGAATATAATAGTACAGAGAATTTCTCAGTTTATCGAGAACTGGACTTCAGAACGCCACTTACAGGTATATTTCATGCTTTTATTTTATTACTTCTACATTCTATTTTTTAAAACCGTGTATTAAAAAGAACATCGATCCAATAGCTCCACCTGCAATAGCAAATCTAGAAATTGTTGAGATTGATACTCGTTCAGTGCCACTTATATTACACTTGAGATGGTTACGTCCACTTTTAACCTTAAAAAATAATGATTCTTATTATAACGTTACTACTTATTGCAATCAATATGCCTATTCCGTTAAAGTGAATATAAATACCTTCTGTGATTTGTGGCAAGATTATATCTGCAGAATATTATATCTAGTTCATGAACCATGTTACAACATTCAGGTAAGAACAGAAACATTCAAAATATTTATTTTGCAGTGAAAAACGAATTTATATGTAAAAAATGTAATAAACAAATTATACTTTTAAATAACTATATATTAACAAAACAATGTATGCCATATTAAAATACTACACATATTAAAATAATATGTTATAGGTTTCGGAGATAAAAGAAAATGATACAGATGCAAGGTCACCGGCTAATGTATTTCAGGAAATGTTTAATATTACAAGTAAGTGAAAAGTAACAGACTTGACATGTACATGTCGTTACTTTTTAAAACTTTTGCATAACTTTCAGTTTTCTATTATTACTTTTATAAATTATATTCTACTTAAAAAGTCAAACGTACACAATACGTATAAATATAAGCGCATTTCTATATATATATATACAAAGTGTTCCAGAATTGGTGTGACATCTCTCGTAACCAAACAGAAAGAGTAAAAATGAGTCAAAAAATGCTGAACTATTTTTGTTCTATTATTTATACTTAAAGAAATAATTATTGAGTAAATCAGGCCGATCTTTAGCCAGGCGCACGTCAGTGAGGCACGCGCCTGTGTGTGTGAGCGCTTCGCGCGGTTCACTGACGTGCGCGTGGCTAAAAATCATCGCCTGGCTAAAGATCGGCCTGATCTACTCAATAATTATTCCTTTAGTATAAATAATAGACAAATAATGAATAGAAAAAAATAGGTCAAAACTTTTTGACTCAGTTTCGATTCTTTTTACCTGCCTACGAGAGATGTCATAACAATTCTGAGAACACCTTGTATACATATATATTTTAAAAATTTTTGTCTTTATTTTAATGTGACATTATGCTCAGTATAAATTTTTTTGTACGTACATGTCGTGTATCACTAGAAAAGTACTCAAAAAATACTTTTTTATAGTCGCTATTTACTTTATACTATAATCTTGTTTTATTTTACTGCTAAAATACACATAAGCAAACAACTTGAGTTTTTGTTGTACACCATAAAAATTTTATTCAAACTATATTTTGCAGAACCAGAGAAACCTGCATTTTTTACTTACACAATACTCAATAACAGTATAGTCGATTTACTATGGCATCATCCTTGGAAGACAAGTCGTCATCTACAATGTTTTCTCATCACCGTAGAAGAAAGTATTTCATATCTGAAACAGCGCATTTCTCAATCAACCGCAAAAACAGAGTATATTTATAGAGTAGATGAATATAAACGTAATTATACCAAGCGTTTACATTTACATCCATCGACAGAGTATCGAATCTTAATTCGATCTATGACAATCACAAACGAGACCAGTTTATTTAATTATGTAAATGTACAGACACCGTCAACCGCAACATTCAATGACGTTTTTTTACACGTCGTACCGGACGAATTTAATTCTACGATCATGGTATATATACCGCGTGTTCTTAATGACACGTATGATAGTGATTTGCACATTGTTGTGAAAGGATCTAATCGATGCAAAAAGTATTTACAAGTACCTAAAAGTTTACAAAAACAAGCAAATATAAAAAACAATGATGTCGCTTGGCAAGCTGCTAAGATCTCGGTACGTGTATATACAAAACCATTTTTACATTTAAATATGTAAAAAACATACATATAAAATAAAATAATTTTCTTTACTTTCAATTAGTACTATTATAAGAATTACGTATAAAAAACAAGTAAATGCATATATGTAAGTTTAAAACAGTTAAAACACACACAAGTGTGTGTGCGCGCACACACACACACTCACTCATACATACACATATATATAAATATATGTATATATACATTTTGTTTATGTTTCATTATTTCAGACAGATGAGATTGCTCGCAACAATTATACTTTCATAGTTGGTGACAACAAAACTTACGGAAATGCTAGGAATTGCCCACTACAACCTAATCAATCGTATGAGATACTAGTTTTTTTAACAGAAAGAAAGTTAATATTTCGAAGGTTAAATGAAAATCCCATGCTTAGAAATTCAACAAGCATTGGGAACGTTCTAGATCCACTACCTTATGGAATATGGCTTATTCCCATAATATTACTGCTCATTATGGGTGCCACAGTCTATTATTTCTACCGAAGGTATTGTATGTCTCTTATTAAATAAATAATAATAAATAATAATACATAACTATGTGTAAATTCATACTTAGTTTATTGCTTTTATGGGTCTCTTTCTGAGTGCCTTCATGTTAACAATTAAAGTTGTAAATACGTAGAAACATGATATCTACTTCATCTAAAAGGAGTGTTTAATGTTTACAGACGAAGACGACAAGTATTTAAACAGATACTTTCACAAAACGAGATGGAGGTGTGGCAAAATGCTGAAAGAACGAATGTCTTAGTAATCTTTAGTAATAATAGTAATATGTAGATCAGTAATAATAAAAGTAGAATTACTATTATAATTATTAACATATTTTAATGAATTACGCTCGATTGCTAAAGTACAACTCAACGTTGACAAACGCGCGTTACAGAACGCTTTGTGTCAACCTTGGTCTAAGATATGACATTGAAAAAAATGGTATAATTTAACACGTCGTAAGTTTTGTACTAACAAGGAGAGAGTACACACGTGGGGTCACCGATTTTGATTAAATTTTGCAGGTATGTAGTATCAGTGGAAGAGTGTTTAATGCTATCTGGAGACAACGCACTACTCAAGCGTTTTCGAGAAATCGTGGTTTACAGTTTTACACGTTGCTTAAGTAACGTTGGAATAGGACGATTTTCGAAGCGGAGGCGTAGCGCAGCGATTGGAGTCCAGACTCGTGGCGCGGCGCCTTATTTGCTGCGCTACGCCTCCGCTTCGAAAATCGTCCTATTCCAACGTTACTTAAGCAACGTGTAAAACTTTAAACCACAATTTCTCGAAAACGCTTGAGTAGTGCGTTGTCTCCAGATAGCATTAAACACTCTTCCATTGATACTACATACCTGAAAAATTTAAACAAAATCGATGACCTTACGGGTGTATTCTCCTCTTGTAAGTTCTCGAATTGAACACATTAGTGCCGTGAAACGTAACAAGCTAAATCTTTTTGAGACCGAATCATTATATTCGTTTGAGGTAAGTTTTAGGTTCTTTTTCAAGGAGAAAGAAGGGCAAAACCTTTCTCTTGCTCATACGTGTAAAATACTAATGTTTGATACAATCAAAATATTTACTTCTCAAATGTACCGTTTTGTTGTCACAAAACAAGAGTTAATCTATGAAAAGTTTTGTTAAATATCGGTTTAATAATAAATACTGAGTGACGACTCAAGCAAAGATCTTTTTATAGTTACTTTAACAATAACCTTTCTAATACATGTAAAAGTTAAAATACTTGAAATGATCTTTGCTAACTAAAAATTGTGTCAATTCTTTTGAAAAATTATACACGTATTTAATAGTAGATGCTTTTGCGGTGAGATATTAAAAATATTTGAAAATAGATCGCCACACATCAGAGACAATGTATACGACAATCAGGCTTGTGTGTTCCTAAAACATCTNCTTTTATTATCATCAGATAAATTTGCGGTTACTTTTTAGCAAATCTACACTTTTAATCAAAAACTCGTCATATGATATTAGTAAAATTTACAGTTTTGACAAATGTTTTACAGATTTCATGGCAATATGTGATTGAACCATTATTCAATATTTCCTGTTAACTTGTAGATAACTTTAGTCGTAAACGTTTCTAATGTGTTAATTAGCAGATACAAAACCTAATGAGTCATTAAAATAAGTTTGGTTTCTCCTGTCCACCACTTTTCTCTCTTAAACTTAGTACAATGATAGTCCAATTGCCGCGGTAACATTGCAAAGTTCGCAAGTACAATTAAATTATTGTTCTAATAACAGTTTTGTGTTTAATGTGTGAAATATTGACTCGTATAATTTGAAGAATTGTTTGTGTTGGCTTTTTCTTTCTTCTTGATCGGATAAACAGGAAATATTTATTGTGCAAGTTTATGTCATGTGCTATATATCATCTACGCTGTAATTACTCTGTGAAATCATTAAGCGATTTTGTTACTACGATCACGATTAAAAGTGCAAGGTGCACATAGAAAATCGCGATAATTTATTTACTGTGCTTGTGTTTTGTGATAACGTATACATGTAGTAAGAATGTAAGAAAGTATATATGTAGATATAAAATATTTGATTAATTTCACTATTTATTTTGATTTAATTATTTTCTGATGAACTTCGTTACTGCTTATTAACATCAACTGTGAGCGTGGAATTTATTTAATAAGAAGGCAAATGATGTTTAAGGTTTTATTTTTCGCTACCCAGATATTCCACACTTGTGGAAAAGTAATTCTTTTACGTGGAGATTTCGGACAATTTGATTATAAAGTAAGTCAGAGACGTTATATATGTCTCTCAGGAGACGACTGCGGAGCACTTGTGTGAAATGCACATTCAATTAAAGCGGACCATCAATTTTTTGGACAAGGTAATCGTAAATGATTCGCATAAATTCTTACATTCTTACACTATACCAAAATTTTGATCATTTTCATAACTTTGTAAGTAAATTTTTGACGTTGTATCCTGACTATTCTTATCACGTTGTTCTTCTTTTATTTATATAAATACACGATTACAAACTTCTTTATAAATAAAGTCTATTTTACTTTTAACCAATATCTTTATATGAAGTTCATCTAAACATTCTATGTCTTGTCATTGTTTTCGAGATTATATACGCTTTCCGTAGACATGCTAAACTTTAAACGTTTATTGTAGAGTTTAAGAATACTCGTGTATACAATGATACGATACAATGTAAATGAACGAAAACATAGAATGTGTACAATCTTGATATCTAAGTAATATATTGGAGTTTTACAAATTCTAAGAAAACATCCATGGGTCCCGTATTTGATCAAAGATAGGAAGATAGAAGATTTACAGTGTGTAAAACTTATATCCATTATTAATTCAAAGTATTCAACGCACTACGTCATTATATGTTTGCAAAATGTCGCTTTAAGTATTGTTTTAAATAATATATATTTAATTATTAATAATCATTTCTATTCTAAATAATATATGCCCAAAATTTTTAGAATTTAAACAAATAAAAGTTTTAAGAGTTTCTATCTCTAACGTAACAACAGATCTTCCACAAGCAAGAGCCATGTCTATTTAAATTCGTTCATGGCAGGATGTGAATGTTTTTAATCAATCAATCGCTTGTGAAATAATCAAATAAGTTAAAAGGCCGATACGATCGAAGGCCGAATCGTTAACTTGGTTATATTTGCGATTGAGATAAATTGGGATAACGCAAAAAAAGAGTATAAGTATACACTGGAAGAATATAAGCGTAATTATACCGAGCGTTTACACTTATATTCATCGACAGTTTATCGAATCTATATTCGATCTATGACCATCACAAACGAGACCAGTCTGTACAGTTATGTAAATGTACAGACACCGTCAACTGCAGCGTTCGATGACATTTTACACGTCGTATCAGACGAATTTAATTCTACGATTGTGGTATATATACCGCGTGTTCTTAATGACACGTATGATAGTAGTGTGCACATTATTGTGAAAGGATTAAATCCATGCAAGAATTATTCGAAAGTTCCTTCAAATCTACAAAAGCAAATGAATATAAATGAAGATGATGTTGCTTGGCAAGCTGCTGAGATCTCGGTACGTGTATTATTTCAATATAATTTCAAAAACATTTCTACATTAAAACATATTCAGTAAAAGAATAAACAAAAAAAGAATCAATAATACTGATTATCAAGTAGTGACATTATACTTATAAAAATGCAGTACATGCATATGTATAACTTTACAACAGTTAACACACACACACAGACATATACTGTTTGTGTTTCATTATTGTTTGTGTTTCATTATTTCAGACAGATGAGAATGCCCGCAACTATTATACCTTCACAGTTGGTGACAACAAAACTTACGGAGGTTTTAGGAATTGCCCATTACAACTTAATTGACTGTATGAGATAGTAGTTATTTTAACAGAACAACGATCAATATTCCGTATCTCTAATAAAGCAAACCTGCTTAGAATATCGACTAGCATAGGGAAGGTTCCGAATTCAGTGGCTTACAAACTGTGGTTACTTCCAATAATATTATTGCTCATCATAATTGCTACTGTTATTCTTTATATCTGCCAAAGGTAGCGTATGTTTCTTTTAAAAAGATGATACTATATAAATGTAACTGCATATTTTTTAAATTAACAATTAAAGTATCTTAGGCTCTGAAAGTTCTACGCAAAATTTGTTTAAATCATTTTTTAAAAATCATTTCTGTGAATCTCTTATAAGTGCCTTTATGTTAGTAAGTACTATTGGAAAGAAGAAAAAAATAATTTATTTATTTTATTTACAAAGCAATGTTTATTGCAATGTGCATAATGTTTACAGAAGAGGCTGTCAAGTATTGAGACAGACAATTTTGGAGAACGAAATGGAAATGCAAAATACTGAGAGAAGAATTGTCTTTAGTACTTAGTAATACTTAGATTGTCAGTAATATTAAGAATAGTAACAAAGTTTTATTAAACTGCTTTTAACACTTAAAATAAAAACGAAGCTAACATTTGACTAATATTCTTGATATCATATGTCATATTTAAAAACTCATGTGGGATTTTCTATAAGAAATATTCATAAGAAAAATTATTATTCTTATAATACAATATACTGTTATAAATATATACGGATCCTACACCATAACAACCGTAGTTTTATTCAATTTTAATATGTGTGTTTATCCTTGCTTTCAATATTTTAGTATAACATTGGCTAACAATTTTTTAGTGTAATATGTGGCTGACGATAAATTTCTTTTGAGTAGAGAATTTGTTTGTATGTCAAATAATATTTGTTGTATAATATTTGTCTCGCAAGAGAAATCAAGAACACACGGTAGTGCCTCGCGCCAAGTTTAGGTGTAGCGAGGTCCGACCGTGACTTATTTACGCGAGTCGCAGGACAGTTCATTCAGCAAAGGTAAGATATCTTATATCTCAACAATAACTTAGCCAATCAATTTCGTGATCCGAATCGACTCAGGCTGAAAAAGTAGAAAAAAAGTAGCGTTATGTTTGTTTTGTACATCCCTCTGAGCAAAGACTTTTAAGGTAAATTATTTATTATTAGTAGAAATACAAAAAACCAATTCATTCAGATTCAGAAACATTGTCTAATTAGACAGATCAGTGGTAGAGTAATGTTTTTTTTACGTAGTCCCTATTAGATGGCAGATGTGTAGCGCGACGCATGATAGCGAAAAAGAGACAACAGTACTTCATCTAAAAAGTGTGTATAATGTTTACAGAAGAAGACAAGTATTTACACAGATAATTTCACAAAACGAGATAGAAATGTGCCAAAATGCTGAGAGAACGAATGTTTTTAGTAATATTAGTAATACTTAGATCAGTAAAATAATAAAAGTAGAATTGATATTAAGATTAGTACTAATTTTTGATCACCTACGCTCGACAGCTAAAGTAAAAAACATAGCTAACGTTTGACTGGTAGACATATCTTTTACAACATAGTTATATATGTATAAGTACGTGAGATACTCTACAGAATATTTAGTCAAAGAATATTCAATCGAAAAGTTATCATTTGCACAGTAAACTGTAATAAATATATACGAATTCTGCGAAAGGTTAAAACCGTCTGTATTTAAAACTTAGATTGTTTATTTGTGATTCTTAATATATCTTTTAGGCCTGATTTCTTCATATTCTACAAAAATGTGTGATATCCGAACAAAATACCTTTTCAAAAAAAGGTTAAAAAAGGCGTGAAGTACACGCGCAACTCGTATTTCTAGAAAAAGTATTACTAAAAATCTTTTTCTACAAGATTTATTCTACAAAAGAAATGATATCTATAAGTTACGCCAAGTAAAATCTTTTATACATTCTTACAAAAGTATATCAAATATTACTTAAAACCTTGTAAGTTGTTTGTACGTTGTAAAATAGAAAATATTCTAAATCAATAGAAAGTTTAAAATATTGTATGACTACTGCACTTTTTATAAAAGCACTCATTGATGTAAGAAATGACTTCGTCTTGCGTGGAAAATTTTTAACTATGTCGAATCATATATATATAGATTTCGAATCATATATAGATAGATTTCGCTTTGTGTGAAAAGTCAAAACCTCATGTGGAATGTTTTAAACTAAAAAATGTTTAATGTAAAAATACTTGGCGCGGCTGCATTCTGTCTTTAGTTTTTGATGCAACTGCGCCAAGTTTTTTTACATTAAATATATGGTGCCAATCTACGATCGAAATATTAGTCAACATTTTTTGCTAATTTGTCGATAATCGTTGTCGACTTGGCAATGAGAGCTTCAATGCGTCAGTTACATTTAGCCGATATGAAATTGTTATCGCGGATTCATAAAAGGAAGTGTGGTTTCCTTTTCACCAAAATTTCTCTTTTAAACTTATTACAATGACAGTCTAATTGTCGCGGCAACACTGCAAAGGTCCCAAATAACTTTGACTTATTGTTGGTCAAGTAATCTGTTAGCAATTTTGTATTTAATCCTCGAATTCTTGAATCATGCAATATTAAGAATTTTTTTTTTGTGTTAATATTTTATCTTTTTTCTTGATTGGATAAACAGAAAACATTTATTGTACAAATATATGTTGTGTGAAGTATACTATTCACGCTGCGGTTACATTGTAAAACCATCAAAAAAGAGATTTTGTTTACTACGATCACAGTGAAAAGTGCAACTTGTGCATAGAAAATCATGATTTATTTAAGATCTATTAATACATATTCGTGGTTTTTATTAATGTGTTACTTACAATAAAAAGTATATATAAAAATTATATTGGAAAGTGTATATGTAGATATAAAATAATTGATTACTTTCACTATTTTGATTCAAATATTATTTTCTGATACTCTTCTTCTCCGCTTATGAAGATCAACTGAAAGTGGAACATATTTAATGACAATGCAAATGTCATGGTTTTTATTTTTTGCTGTTCAAATATTTCACAGTTGTGGAAAAGTAATTCTTTTACGTGGAGAATTACAACAATTTGATTCTAAAGTAGTTAGAATAAAATATATATGTCTCTCAGAAGACGACGGCGGCGCACTTGTATGGAATGACGACATAGAACAAGAGCGACAACTTCTTAGTGACCTATGTAAGTTATAACGTTCTTACAACATACCAAAAAATCATTATTTATAGTTTTGCAGCTAAATTTTTTACAATAAATTTGTTTACCAAAGTGTTTTACTTTTTTTATACGCTTTTCTTATACGCTTAAATACACGTTTTAAATCTTATTTATAAATCAATTTTACTTCAACTTAAATTTTGGAATTGATATTTGTATTTAAAGTAGCCAAACATTTTGTATATTATCATACTTTCTTCGAGACTATACGCTTACTATAGACAACTATATTATTGTAGCATACAGTGTCTCAGTGGGCGTAGAGCCTCAGTGTACACATGAATACAATACTTGGATAGAGTGCAAAATGTCGACTATACCCGTTACAGAACTTAAAGATCCAAACTGTTTAGAATCTTGGTCTCGAGAAAACTGGATTCTTACGCATTCTTTGAAAACACCTATGGGTCCGGTATTTGATCAAAGATGGGAAGGTAGATTTACAATATTTAAAAACTTTTATCAATTATTAATCCAAAGTATTTAATCCATTTTGTCATTATATGTTTGTAAAATGTAAGCTTAATGTTACTGTTTTAATTAGCATATGTACTTATAATTTGTAGAATTTAACGAACACCAGCATTCCTTCAGTACAATAAACCTTTCACTGAAAAGTGCAATGTCTTTTTCAATTCGTTCATGGGAGGACACGCACATTTTTGTCTGTGTTTTTAATAATAACCAAATCCAGGATGAGACTAAATTGTTGGAGAATTGCTTTGTGATAACATTAAAATACAAAACGAAAATCAGCATCGAATTCTGCAAATCTGTTTTTATAATTCTATCGCCAGCGTTTGGAAATTTTTTCCCACGTGATGATTGCTCTTCTTCCATCATAACTTGCAAAAACGTAAGATATACGTAAAATATAGCTTTTTAGTTATACAGTTCTCAGAATTTTTAATACACACTCAAAGAATTTCTAAATCAAAACTTAGCCACAAATACTTGTATTTGAAATGTAAGTGATTATGTGTAATACTTCTTTACAACATTGATAAAGAAAAAGATATCATAAAAAGTATAAAAGTTCAAAGAACGTGATACAATTATAAGATAGTTAGATAAGCATTATATTTTACTAAAGTATTTGCAATTATTTTAGTGCATGTCATTATCTGCGACTGAATGGCGAACGTTTGTCATTTCATGGGATTTTTGGAGAAAAAATATTTCTGTTTATAATACTAAAAACGAAATGGTTACATGTGAAGAAAAACAGCTTGATTTTCCTTTAGGAGAAAAGGTTTCCATATTTCAGTTTTCTATATCAACTTTGTCCAAATCTCGAGAAAGGTTGTTTCGCAATCACGAATGTAAGTATATTCGTTTAAAACTAAGTTTATTTATTTAGGGTAAGTACTGTACTTTACTTTAACCAAACCGAAACACTGTCCGACAAATTGGTATCTGACGAGTGCGAATAAATTCTTTCAAAGTAATTTTGTCTGCCGAACACATATCTGTCGTTCAAAATAAGTATCTAACGACATATTCGTTACGAAACGAGTTTAAAGAAGCCCAAAACGATAATTCGTAGATATTGTGTACGCGTGTGCGACAATATAATAAGAAGACTACAAGGGAAATGTTTCATAAGTCACATTTTTGTAATTTTAGAGGAGAGCAATTTTAAAAGATGTTTTTACCGTTTTGTCATATTTATCAATAATTTAAAAAAATCTAAATTTGATAGTCAAAACATCTGTTTTCTGGTATTAAAGAAAACATCGATATTACAACATCAACTGTGTTTTCATTTTTCTCTTGCCCTGCACTCATTTCTCACTTTAAATTAAGTAGCATCTCACACATTCAAGTAAATTTCAAAGTGTTTATTTCTAAGATAATAAATTTTAAAAAACATTTACTCATATCACTACTTTGTATAAAAAATATTTTTTGTGTTTACATGATGTAATCAAAAATTGCAAAATATAATAACTTTATCTATTTCATACCTTACACTAAGCCTATAAATAAAGAAACATTTTCCAATCGCTTCATATTAGACATTATTTAAATTGCTGGACTTTGACCGCAAATTATCGTTTAAAAAACATTCAACAACATTTTCAAGCTTGTACTGAAATGTGTACGTGAAACGTGTATTAAACTGTTTTTTGAGAATTTTATATGTTCATACTTTTTTTCCAAAAAACCACATGGTTTTGTTTGTTAAAATTATATCATTTTCACTATTTTGCTTGCTTCTAAATAACAACTTATTTCAAACACTTTGTCACAAATATCACAAACTACAACAATTTATGTACAAAATGTATTTTGTCAAAGTTTCAATTTTTTATCCAAATTACGTAAAAATAGATACTATAAAAAACAAAAATGTTTTTCTTTGGCAGAGAGTCTTACAGTTAAAAAGTTTTTAATTATTTTTCTACAATATTTGAAACAATACACTTCAATCCTTAAAATGCTATTTTTTATTTTGTTTCTACAATAATTTCTTACTTAAAATACTTATGAACGTCCACGATTTGATGGAACCTTTAATGAATATCTAATAAAAATTTGTATAGAATAATGTTTTGTGTGATAGCTGTATAATAAAACTATTTTTTTTAAATTAATGAATTAAATAAATTTGGTTGTAGGAGCCGTTTGCAGGATGTTGTGCAGAAAATGTGCTTAAATATATATATATATATATATATACTATATATGTGTATACACATATGTATACACATATATACGTCGAAATAATTTTTTTCTTTTATATAGCATGCTGGATTTGCATCACATATATGTATATGAAAGATCCTATATACCTCCCTAACTAATTTTTAAAATATTGCGAAAAAAACTCTTTAGCTAGGAACTTGGAATCTCCGGCTTTTTTTCGTAATATTTTAAAAATTAGTTAGGGAGCTATATAAGGTCTTTACAACCGAATTTATTTCATTCATTAATTTAAAAAAATTCCGAAGCTCAAAGAATCTTTTTTTTGTTTATTATTAATTAAAATTATTTTTTTTATATATTAAATGAAAAAATTTTAATTTTATATCTTACTACTATAATATGTAGAAAGTAAGTTAATAAAGAGTTTTAAATTCTTAAGTTTTAAACTAACAACGCAAACTGTAAACGCTCATGAGAACCTTATGCTAAATGTTTGTGATGCAAAGTAAATATATATATAATATACTCTACTACATTTCTCTATGCACATGGCTTACAAACTAAGTATTTCGAAACGGCAAAAATGATATAAAATAGCTTAAATGAGTGTAATAAAAACTACATAATACAAATAAAACTTACATATAACTATTCCAGACTCTTTTCTGTACACAATTGACAAGAATGCAGTTTTGACGACTCGTTCTTATGTACCTGCTACTCAGAAGATATGCATACAAGTAGTATTAGGCTTATGTGCAGAATGTGATGCAGATGTCGTGATGATTGATTCCAAAAGGTTTAAAATATTACAATCTGTAACAGCTAAAGGCTCACTAAATGCTGCGATTCATGGCTTACCTATGTGGCAACTCATTAAATTGGATGGAAATTTTTCCATAGACACTATTGGTACGGTACAAATTCATGTAATACCCAAACTCACGAAGCCTACCCACAATCCGTTGTGGGCAATAGCAGATGTTCGTAACTGTCCCAATAAAGGTATAAATATATATATGGATACAGTTTTTTAAATTTTGTATATTTATATGTAACATTAAAATATGTATTAAGTGAATTACTTAAACTTTCCAAGAAATTGTCACTAATATTCTTTTTATATTACTTTTTTTGTGATTTATGGTTTTCTATTAAAAGTTTTGAGAAAAATAGTTGGTACGCAAGAATACCCTAATTTTATTCCGTGGCCGAATGTAACATGCCAAAAATTATTTTTCAACACAAATACCGTCGTAAGTTCTCTGTCGACAGCAACAAACAACATGGATCTAGGTATTTATCAACTTTTAAATTATTACATGTGAACTTTTATATTCTAATATTCTTTCAAACTCCTGTATTATGATTTCTCAAATAGCACAATAATGTTGTACTTGTAATCATGGGCGTTCGCAGGATTTTTTCAGAGGGAGGAGGAGCAATTTTTCCGTCTCAAAACTTATGAATTTTACAGAAAGGTTTTACTGTACAGAGAGTTTTCACGAATAGATGTATGATTTAATTAATGATTTAGTTAACCAGGGTTTTCAAACTTGTTCCAAGATAAAAACCACAATTTGTGAAAAAAAATGAGATAAGTATGGCGGCGTTACTGGTTTGTAAAAAAGCTTCCCGAGAAAAATGGATTAGATTTAATTTAAATCTACCGAGATAAAAAAATAGAAAAATTGATCTAATTAGATCTAGATTAAATCTAAATAGATATAAAATAGATCTAAATAAATATAAAGTAAATCTAAATACATATAATTAAATCTATGTAAATTTACACTTTTATTTATTATTAGATCTACTTTTGATCTACTCAGATCTATTATATTAGATCATTTCAGATCTGTTCAGATCTGCTTAAATCTAATTGTGAGTAGATCTAAAGTAGATTTTTAATAATATATAATAATGTAAGTTTATATAATAGATCTACTTATATTTATTTAGATCTATTTTATATTTATTTAGATCTACTTTATATCTATTTAGATTTACTGGATCTAATTAGATGTATTTTTCTATTTTTTTTGTCTTGTTAAATTTAAGTTCGATCTAATCCAGTTTTTCCCGTGATGTCTTTCTGGGGGCAAATGCCAAGTTTGCTTCCCGCCACCTTCTGTGGACGCCCATGCTTGTAATTGATAACATTCTATAATACATTTTATACAAAATAGTTGAATTATTATGATTATATCTCACAGATGATAAATTTTGTCCTGAGGGAAAAAATGGGCCAGAATGTTCTTTTTCCTGCAAACATGATCTGAACAGTACCTTTAATTGCAAAGGAACTGCAATCTGTTTCAAAACTGATTGCAACTGCTCTCTAAGATATGAAGACGATATATGTTTTTCTGATGGTAAGTAAATTGGGATAGTTCACTTACAGTTTTATTTTATATTAAAATAAGACTCGTATAATACATATTGATAATATATAAATGTAATTGCAGGATGTGACAACAATTCGTATAGGCATGAGAATTGTATAAAGAAATGTGGTTTTTGTAAATCTACTGACTCTTTTAAATGTGAAACAATATCTGGAGAATGTATAAGCGGATGTAATGATACAGAATTAATTTACTTGCCATCTGTGTGTCATATAGGTAATTTCTGACTTTTACTGATACACTACTATGATAATATTTGTCAAAAACTTCTGTCATTGCTATACTAGATATTAAACAAACAAATGTTATATTAATATTTAAGGCATACAAAAGTTCACAGTACCTGAAATTGTCTCTGTCACTCCAACAAGCATTGAAACTAAATGTCCTATAGTGTGGGAAAAAGAATACAATCAAACAACGATGATATATTCGTTTATTATTAAGGTAACTCTTAATAATTTTTTAAATAGAATTAAATATTTAATAATAATAAAATTGAAAAAGTCATTCAGAAGAGTTTATTTTTTATTATAATTTATCAGTAGCCAAACCTTTTTCAATAATCTAATACTCAAACCATCATTTTATGCATTCGGAAGAAAAAAAAGTAACGTAAAATTGTTTCTTCTATTTTTCCACAGGGAGAAAATGATTACATCTTCACGCAGTCATGGAAAAAACTGTCTCAAAATATAACACATTTGAAGGGACATTTCAACAATTTAAATCATAGTTCTCTCTATTCAGTTAAATGCATATTACTAGCGGGGAATGCAATAATTCAAAGCAAATGGCAAATTGTGGAAACTGATTGCAAACGTAAGTATCGATATTTCTTTTTTCCTATGTATGAATCCTTACACGTTTGTGAAAAACACGTACTGCAGTTTTGTGACTTTGCAAAGAAAACAAAAAAAATCTACAATATATATATCTTTACTTGTATAAGGTTGTCATCCGTTTTCTTTTCTCAATACACCTTTTTTTGTTAAGTGTCGGAAACGTTCGAATGGATTTTTCGTAAGTGTCGATGATCAAGAGGCACGGTAGTGCTTTGCGCCAAGTTCACACGCAACAAAGTGGCGCTCGAACTGCGCAAGCACACTGTGCCTATTATACGCGAAAATCAGGCATTTCAGTGGAAGAATGTAACAAAAGAAAAAATGTTTTCAAACTATAAAAATTATTTAATGCAAAAACACTTGGCGCGGTTGCATCAGACTGTCGCACAAAGAAATAATTTTATTATAGTTGAAAACCAGCCGCGCCAAGTTTTTTTGCATTAAATAATTTTTATATTTTGAAAAACTTTTTTTGTTTGTTACATTTCTGTGTTTTAGTAATAAATATAATCTTATCGAAGTACATAATTCTGTACTTAGAATTAGTTAATACTAATCACACGGAAAACAAGTTAAAGCGTAGTTTTACTATAGACACAATTATGTTAATGTGTATTGTTTTTCAACAATAAAACAAGTTTTTAAAAAAAGAATGTTGTATAGTATATAATAACGGAAAAAAGTTAAAGCATAGTCTTACTGTTGACACAAGTATGTTATTGTAAATTGTATTTCTCTTCAATATTATTTTCTATATTGTATACTGTTTTTGAATATAATATCGTACAAAAGTTACTTGGTGCTACTTTTTAAAATCACTTCTTTTGTAAAATAGATTTTTAAAGAAGGAATGTTTTGTAGTATATATTTTTGTAAAATAGATTTTTAAAGAAAAAATATTTTGCAGTATATATTTTGTAAGCCAGATTGTATTTTGTAAACCAAGTTTTATAGAGAAAAAACTTTTTGTATGTTGTAAAAAGATTTTAAAGAAAAAGAAGTTTTTGCAGTAAAAAAAAATGTTTTGTAGTATATAATTTTGTAAAACAGATTTTATACAGAATAAATTTTTTGTAGTATTAAATCAAGTTTTATTATGATTGTTCGGAATTTTGAGGAATCTTTTAAATAGTTTATTTCTTCCGTGTTTTCCGGTTTGATAGCTATTCGTTCTTTTTTCTCCGAGCACTTGGATGGCAACCTTACACTTGTATTGACTTTACATGCACTGAAAAAAAAAAAGTTGTTAAAGTAACCAAATTGTATTTGACTCAACTATATGCGGCGGTCACGGACTCTGACAATTAAATTGTGATTAATGTAAGAAGATATCATGTTTCAATATATATATATATAGATATGACAATTAGTTTGTATCAAAAGACATATTTAGTTATTTTAACAAATCTACACACACACAGTTTGTTTAAATACAGATTACTTTTAACATAAACAACACAATATTTTGTCTATTATAATAAGCACTTTGATTATATTAAATATTTAATACAAATAAATTCAACAAAGATTTCATTTAATTAAAATAACTGAATATTGCGTATTTTACTTTTTTTTAATATAAGTCTTTTATTTGAAATTATCATATATTATGATTGACACAACAATTTATGGTTTAATAAATAAAGTATGTTCATTACCCATATTGTTGATTTACCTTATATGGATTTGGTATTTTTTTCTTTGTTATATACTTGAATCAAAAACACAAGTATTTCAGATAACAAACTGACTGCCAACTAAACGCGTTTAGTTGAGTTAATAATATTTTTTTCTCAGTATATAAATATGCACACCACTTACTGTACTCTTATTACTATATTCCTTTGTTTTCTTTATTTACATTTTTCTTTTACCTACATCACGCATCCGTATTTTGCAACTAATTTATGTAAGAAATATTTTTGTTGTAGTTTTACGTATAGACATAATTGCTTTATATTTACATTTGGTATACTATTGTACGTACAGTATCCCACATAAATTTGGAAACTTATGATTTACAGACAAAGAATCACATAACACCTATTTGTGCATGTTTTCGGTTTGAATACATCGTAAGACGTCCAAATGATAATAAACATTTTTATCTAGGACACTTATAAGCTTGTACATGTTAAAAATATATCAGACAATTATTTTGTGGTATCTTTTTTGCGTTCTAAATAGAGAAACAGTACATTGTTTGAAGTTCTTCAGTTATAATTTCTGTAACAATTGTAAACATTATTTAAGTTGTAGATTGATTTCAGACTTCGTAAAACTTGTAAAAGCTACAAAAAGTACTACAAATAAATAATCGCAAAACAAGTAACAATAAACAAACAATAAACTGGTGCGCAAAATTTATTTCTGAGTTCTTTGATGCCATGAAATAATTGTCCGATATATTTTTGTTATACACAAGCTTATAAGTGTCCTAGATAAAAATGTTTATCATTATTTTAGACGTCTTACAATGTATCTAAAACAAAAACATGCACAGATCGCTGTCATGCAATAGTTCCCTTGTAAAACGGAAGGTGTTTCCAAACTTATGAAGGATACTGTATATTTGAAGTAGCGTTTAAAGTTTTTGTTAGTGTCTAATGTTATAAATATTACACTTAACCATACAAGACAAAAACCGATACTTTTTTCTGTCGTTCTAAATTTATGTTAAATTGCATACAAAAGCGAAACTAAACAATCGCCATTAAAAAATTGAAGACTTTTCACTACATAAATTTTTCTTGCAACTCACTACAAAATAAAGAATCATGTTCTTAAGTAAGAGTCGGGGGTGTTATGCATTATATTTCTTATGATTATTGTTCCTTAGATGATAGTGTGTATGTTTAGATATACTTGACAAAGTCACAAACGTTAGATAACCACTTTTTATTACATGCTTGTCACATCCCGGTAAAAAATTTTCCATGTATAAAATTGTATGGACATATTCAGCATATAAATTTGGATAATTAGATATAATAATTCTAATTTGTGTATAAGTATATATGAAAAATTTTTTACCGGGATGTCTAAACGATTCGCATTATCAAAACAAATCTTTTATTTATCATACCCAGAGAACAACGTCGCTCCAACACTAGAAAGCGACATCCGCGTTTGCTGCTAGCGTTACATTTAAACAAAACAAAACTCGCACGACCTACCAAATAATCAAAAAACCTTAGAAAAAAAATATACAGTTTAGATTTTAGCAAGTGCCATAAGTTTTAGTTATGTGCATATTTGAAAAATTTGCAACATAACTTTCTACGTATTTATATATTTATTTATGAATAACTATGAGATAAAAATAACATCATTATTCTTGTCTAAAATTTCATTACCGTAATGTAGAAAACAAACATAGAATACAAAAATCAATATGTAAAAACAGTATTTAGTACTAAGTATTATTATAATACAAAGTTTACTTACCTCTTTTGTATACTATGTAATGTGTTTTATACTAACTGGATGTTTACTTGGTTTGTCGTACTGTAGCAATAAAAGCTTTCAAAGTATTGTCTACAGAAAGCAGCATAATTCTTGATTGGCAGAACATTTCAGATGTACGTATATAGTTTGCTATTTATTCTAACATAACAATACCTTTACGATGCAGGATGTATTAAATGTAATAGATATTGAATTAATATAAAGACTTGATTTCTTTTTTCTCATATATTAGCAACTATTTTCATGTCCAGCACATTGGTATTATGTAACTCTTCAAAATACAAATACAGGCGAGACTATTTGTAACACAACAATTATCACTTTTCCTTATGAAGTGTCAGGTTTACCGCCATATACTGTTTTCAACGTGAGTGTAAGTTGTCCGGGACTTTCTCATACAAACATAAAACATAACTACATGTTTCTCACTCATATTCGTACATTACGAAGCGGTAAGTATGTTTTATGTTTCTTAACCGATGACTGTACTACAATAAGAAATTCCACAAATATATACTTCATATATTATAATAAATACGTTTTTTTAATATCTGTATTTTAGAACTGTCATTAGCTTCAACAAAAGAATTAGATATTCAATATTTTGCAAACTCGAGCACACAAGTCACTATGAAATGGACAAGGGATTTAGATTACTCAAGCATAGCGCTGTACGAAATAACATTAAAGGTAACTTTATGTAACGTTTAGTTTCCACGTGTTCAAACATATATATGTAAACATCTTTTGTTTCCTAGATATTAATTAGATTGTCTCTTAAACAAATTTTTTAAATTATAATTAAGTAATAGTACTACAGTATTGATTATACAAGTTATTATATTTTTCAAATATATAGAAGTTTGATTCAAGACGATGTAGCGTCGATATCGTTTTAGTTCGCTCGTTCTTTCTAGGTTATAGTATATTGACAAAGTATATATCTTTCTGATATTTGATACTTTCGCGGTCTGTTGCATTCTTAATATTATTTACAAAAAATTTTTGGGTGTAAACCGCGTTATTGTCAATTTTATAGTTATGTTTTGTGACCATTTTATCAGTTCATGTCATTAAAGTCTCACGAGTAACATGATACTGAAATGCTTTTAACCAAGTGTCACAGTTTTTATCTTTAAATTATAGAAAAGACGCAGAGTGTGTAATATAAAAACATACTATACTAAAGAAAAGACAGTATTTTTTTTTTTTTTTTTTGATTGCTTCTTAACGAATCTACTGTTTAAGTGACATAGAGTAAACTTGGGTTTTATGGCCATACAAAAGAGATGGCCATAAATTGACATTTTACCAATACTTGTTTAATAGTGCATTTTTGTAGTCATTCTTAAAGATAATTAGTATTACCAGTAGGTTATGTGCATACACTTTTTAAAATAACAATATTGTGTGAAAATTATATAATATTTTTACTTTCGATTGCCTGCAAAGTTTTGCATATATCCACTGCTATAACGTCGAATAAATTGCAGTTCAGCTGCCATAATAAATATTACATACTAATAAAGGTACATAAATCGTAATGTAATCATTAATTTGTATTTTCATTTTCATTATTTATTTATAAATACTTTAGGGTCATCTTTTTCTCACACTTTGTGAAAGATGGCCTATATAAATATGTATATTCCCAGCAAACAATTTGGTTGCGAGATGTCTCAGTTTTGTCGCCAACCGCCGGCGAAATATGTAGACCAAATCTATATCCATCTGTGTCCTCATTAGGATATGGTTTGGCGACCATATCTGTCAAACATGTGAGATGTCAAAATGAAATCAAAATCATAACAAGTCTGCCACTAGCAAAGCAAAGCCAAAGTGACGCACCAAATCCAGAACAGATTTGGTGATCGTTTGTTGGCGCCAAAATTGCGCCAAATACATATCATATCTGTTACCAAAACTGTCAACAAAACAGTAGCAAATACAGACTAAATCTGCCGTTAGAAGCGCCGACAGATTGTTATCAAACGCAGATCAGATCTGTTCCCTAGAATCCAAGTGGAATTACTACAAAAAAAAAAAAGAAAATNAGTGGCATATTGCCTTATCGGAAGAGAATTAATTCGAGATTTNACTCGAATTAATTTCTAGAAGCCTGATTCAGCTCGTTGATCAACCGATGAACTCCATTGAAAAAGACCGAATCTGAAAAAATCCTAAATGTGATAGCGGGATTTGAACTCGAGACCTCCATATTCGCGCCCCTGCACTCAGTCCACGAAACCACTTGTGTTCCTTACTAACATATAATTATTTTTATCTATTTATTCTCAAGCTATCNTACATTTCATTATTTATTTCAATTATTATTTTACTAAAAATGTTGCAATGCAATGTACCTGCAACAATAAATAAAAATACTTTTCTTATTATTCTTAAATATAATTTAAAGTACATTTTTATACAACGCGAATAAATGTTTTGTTAATATATGCTGATACTTGAATAA